GGTCTCCTGGTAGTGTAGTTGAGATAGATACAGTTACTGTGGAAGGCAAGGTACACTTCAGTAGATTTTTTTGTGCCTTCAAAGCAAGTATAGATGGATTTAGAGATGGCTGCATACCCTATATTAGTATAGATTCAACTGCTCTCAATGGTGAGTGGAATGGCCACATGCCTGCAGCCAATGCAATAGATGGCCACAATTGGTTGTACCCAATTGCTTTTGGCTTCTTTGATTCAGAGACCAAGGATAATTGGACTTGGTTCATGGAACAGTTAGGGAAAGCTTTAGGGCCAATGAACCACTTGGCTATATGCACTGATGCCTGCAAAGGGCTAGAAGCAGCTGTGAAAAAGGTTTTCCCTGGAGCAGAGCAGAGAGAGTGTTTCAGGCATCTCATGGAAAATATGAAGAAAAGGTTTACAGGAAATGCCTATGCCAAGTACATGTGGCCAGCAGCAAGGGCATGCACAGTAGAGAAGTTCAATAAATTGATGGACAAAGTTATTGAAGCCTATCCAGGAGTTGTTCCATGGTTGAAGGAACATCACAGTTTATTGTGGGCCAGGAGTGGATTCAAGGAAGAGATCAAGTGTGACTTCATAAATAACAATTTGGCTGAATCTTGGAATGCAGGGATCCAAGCACACAAAGATCTACCATTAGACATTCTAGCTGATGCTATCATGCACAAGACAATGGTACTTTTTGAGAAGAGAAGGAAGATATCCAAGGCCCTAAAAGGATTCATACTACCAGCAATAATTCATCGGCTAAATACAGCCTCAAAGGGACTGAACCATCTGAAGGCAACTAAGGGTGGACCCAACCAAGCAAAGGTGATAGTCATATACAATGATGAAGTTGTCAAGAGGCATGTTGTCTAGATTCATCACAATCTTCCCCTGGTCCACCAATATGGCCAGGTACTCTCGCTGCCACTCAAAAAACCTACAAGATCCTAGAACCTAAACACATGGAAACATATTTTATGTGACAATTGATTCAAGACCCTAACAAATCGGAACCCAAAGAATGTGGCTTACCCCTTGCATGTTCCTAGGACATTTGAAGAAGACACGACCCTTGTTGCCTTTCTCATCTGTCTGGGCCACGAGCTCGAGCACCCTCTGCAGCCCACACTCCTCGCACATGATGAGGGGGAGCCCTGTCTGCCTCCTGAGTGGGTACTCCTCTATCCTATCCGACAGCTGCGGACGCCTATTGCGCGTTGATGAGCTCGCTCGACGGGACATGGCGGCTAGGGTTGGGGAGGGCAATGGAGGGGCGGCGACGACCAAGGACGGGGAGACGAAGGAAGAAGAAGAAGTGCGGAGAGAACCGTTGGGACTAAGCATATGGGAGGAGACGACGCTTGTTAAGCAATACACGGCGGGGGCAGAATGGTCTTTTGCCTTCGGTTTTCGAGCGTCAACGGCCCGTTCCCAAGCTGGCTGGCTGATCTAGCATGCCACGTCAGCAAAAATGGCAAAATATTAGGCGAGTTACTATTTTCTGGGACATTTTTGTAGTTACCACCATAAAGTTGGCAATCAGAGAGGCGGCCTCCGTAAGAGTGGCAAATAATTAGATGTCCCCATCAAGGGTGCCGGGGCCCGCGCGGGCGATTTGGAGGGAAAGCAGCGGGAGCGGCCGTGCGCGCGGACACGGTTTTAACGACACGCCTATTATTGGGTGGCCACGGCCCGGTCAAAGGCCTACGCCACCAACCCCGAGGGCGGGTTCATCGGTTTCGCCTGCCGCCGGCGCGGTTGCATGCGACGGCGCTCCCGCCGGACGCGGGGACGGCCTAGCTTGGCTGTGGATCCTTTGCGCTCGATTCGAGCATCATGGACTGCAGTCGCCGAGTTTACTTGCCTTGCCTCGCAAAAATTTCACGTATAGCACATGATGTAGTGACACACTAATGGAATTAGGCAGTAACATAGGCATCTGACGATAAGCTAAGGGCGCAACCGAGTCCTGTTTGCTAGGACTCTGGCTCTTTCAAAAGAGCTCTGGTTTGGTCTACTCATGTGAAGCAGCTTCTTTTATGGAGCTAAAGTTATTTTAAAATATTAAAAAAAACTGATGGCAATTTTATAATAGCTAGATTGTCCGTGGGTTGCACCGGGGTCACGATTTTTAACTGAACCTTGGTAATCGAATTCAAATGCGTGAGTTTCTTGGACTTCTTATCGAACGTGGACGCGTTAGCTCCTTGGACTTCATATCAGAACTGGGTAGGATGAGCTCTGAGTAGAGGATAATTCGTATTGGACGTGGACGTGTAAGCACGGATTGAGATTTAGTATCACCGGGTAGATGATGACTTTACAGTCTTTTCAGTGTAGAAGAGAAGAGAAGAGAAGAGATTAAAAGTCAGCTCCAACTCTTCTATTAAAAAAAGCTCTAACTAAGAAGCCGCAAGAGCCGGAGCCGAAGCCCTGCCACCCGGGGTCTAAAATCTAAATGTCTTCATAGTAACCAATGAGATCATGCTTCCTTAGAAAAAGGCCATCCTCTTATTTGGAATGCATTCCTGGTCGATTCTGATGAAATGTACAAATTTTATAAAAACAACAATGGTTCCGCACAAAATCAACAACCTGCGGTAGAATATATAGAGTACTTCTGATGGGTTTGAAGTAAAATTAAAGGCTACTTTTATTTAAGGCTTACATAGCTATATTTCATAAACAATAGTTTTTATAGGACTCAAATTTAGTTTCTCTCTCTCTTTTCCACATAGAATAAGATATAATATCTGCTAGCTATTTCAATAATTGTTGCAGGCGTCCTAAAGATTTATATTATTATTTATTAATTACTTTGGCTAGTGATGGAATACATGATGTAGTCAACTTTTCATATACTTCCAGCAAAGGTAAACGCCGATTGGACGCGTGGAAGAACATGAGTGATTTGTCTCAAAGATGAACGATGTATATAATCTTTCTGGGTAAACAAGGAAAATCATATTCAAAGAACACTCATTGTTTAATTTTGATTTAGCGAGGGAGTCTAAAAAAATTAGTTTATTTATGTTGTTTTATATTTTTTAAGTTGTGGTAGAATAAACTGCATAGAACACAGGAGCAAGGTCCCTACTCAAACCCCAATCCTCAGATTCTCCTCTCACGTCTTGAATAATGCACCCTTTAGGAGAACCCTACTTTTTAGTTTTGGTCGTTTTTCTGCACCTGTTCAGAACCATGCTTGCCCTAGCGCTCACTTCCGTCTCGTTGCTTGACCGTCGTTTTTGCTAGATCGGTCGCTGCCGCCACGTACGCTCGGTCCAGTCTCCTGGCCCAGCGCCTTCTCCCGGGAGGAAGTGCGGGCACCGTGCCCCTCTCCATCTCTGATGCTCTGCCTACTTGGCACGTCGCCCCTCCCGCCTACCTGACGCTCCACGCAACTCTAGCCACATCGCCACCAGGCGGCCTCCCTTGGCGGCCACCCCTCCCCTACGAGCCATCGACGGCAAATCCACCTCTCTTGCCTTCTTCCTCCCCTAGCGACTTCGCTAATGATGTGCCTTTGTCTGGCCTCCTCCCCTGTTGGTAGACCCCTCACCGTCCTCCTCTCTTGACAAGGCTCCTCCACCCTAGCGAGTAAGAACAGAAATGGCGAGTGGGACTCATATGCTGTGTCTATTGTAATGTATTTGAGAACGATGTCCAAAAAAACCTAGGCCATCAAAACCAGGGAAGTCCTAAAACCAAAAGTAGAATTTTTGATCTGAGGTCTCCTGCTAAAGTTGCTCTGAATATAATAGCTAGTGTGAGCATATAAAAAAACCAACGAACATATCAAGGCAAATTAAGATAGACCCAAAACTGAAGCAAGAAATGCGGGCTCATGCGCCCTGTTTGGGCTTGTTTGGCTGATAAGCCATTGCTGAAAGTACTGTTGGCTGGTTTGGTGTGAGAGAAAAATATTGTTCGTTGGCTGATAAGCCATGGCTTATAAGCCAAATACGACCAGGCGAACAGGCTGATGGTCGATGAATTTCCAAATTTCTTGCTCTGCCAGGCTCAGAGGCCATCCAGAATAAAACGCCAATGGTCAATTCATGATGTAGTATAAATTGTCGTATAATTTTCATGATGAATTTAAATTTTATAAAATTGTTAAGTTTCCTATTATTTTTTGATGAATTCAACATGTTGAACACGGCATACTATGAATATGGTCCAATATAGTATTTTTTTTTTTGCTGATTCACAAAATATATCGCCAGACGTTTTAGTTCCACTTTTACGCATGATGAAAACAAAAAATAGAACAATGTCGAAGTTGTTAACAACCTCTCTTCATATTTCAACACGTTGAACACGACATAGCGTGAATATAGTCCAATGTAGTATTTTCTGCTGATTCACAAAATTTCACATGTCGTTAGTATATACTACTTTTACGCATGATGAGAACAAACAAAGCAATGCACTGTAACAACCTCTGTCCAGATTTGAATACGGTAAACATGACATAATAGCACTTTTTTTTTACTGATTCACAAAATATCACGGGACTATTTTTAGACTTCTACTTTTATATAGCGTGATAAAAACCAATGCTTTTTGCACAGGACTGCTGCGTGTCAGCGGCGTGTGGACTGCTTCCTCCACCCATGCGAGTGCAGGTGGCAGGAGGGAGAGCTGACCAAAGCCGCCGATCCCAGCCCTGAAGCCCAGTGGTTGGCTATAAAACCCCGCACCCCATCTGCCGTCCTCCGGCTCTCCCCTTTTGCATGCCTCACCGGCCTCTCCACCTCCTCCCCTTCCGCCTCCCTCCACTACTGCTAACCCCTCCCTGCTCCCCAATCCCGATCCGCCCCCACGCCCGATCCCCGGATTCGCCGTCCCATCACCCCGCTCCGGGTCCGCGATTCCGTCCCCACTCCCGCCGATCTCCCCGATGTTTCTCAATCCCTCCGGGGTTTTGATTTCCATCGTTTCTGGGTTTGTGTGTGTTCCGGAGTACTGTTGATTGGTATCGAGATGAGGGCCGCGAAGGCGGCGGCGGAGAGGACGGAGGACAAAGAGATAGACTTGCTTCTCAGCGAGATCCCCCACGTCACGTCCCCGCAGGGGCGGCAGCGCGGGGTGGGCGTCATCGGCGACGGCAACGGCAACGGCAACGGCAACGGCGTGCATGGCGCCTCGGGTTCCGACGGCTACACTTCACCAATGCGCATCGGGTGCCGACGGGTACACTGCCCCTCGGGTGCCGACGGGTACGATGCGCAGCGCCACGGCAAGGACGCCTACTACGACATGGTCCTGAACCGTCGCGACAATGGTGCTCCACTCCATGGCGGCGATGCGGGGGCCGTTGGCTTCCCCGCGCTGGGGGTGGACGACCAGGAGCATCAGCTGGTCGCGAACCAGCTCCGCGGTCTGCGCATCGGGGACGCGCAGGCCGCGCTCCAGCGCCAGGGCCCGCCGCCAGTCATGAGCGCGGCCACGACCGAGGTCCCAGCAGCGCACGGCGCGTACCATGGGTACAACTTCGCGGCGTCAGGTTCTTCCGTCCGCCAGGAACACATGTTCCTTGATCAGGCCAAACCTGTCGGGTACGTCGCAGCACGGCCGCATCGCTTCGTGTCGGACGTTGGCCTGGATGACTATGGTGGTTACCCCAGAGCCCTGGACACCAGCATTGGCGGTTTCATGTACAATAGGGTAGGGCATGGCACTGGCATTGGTTGGTGCCAAGGTTTGGTGCAGCCTGATTTCGCCGAGTCCTACCTGCTTTCCAGTCAGGCTGGTGCAGAGTTTTCCAGCTCGAGTCCGGTTGCCCTTAAGCGACACTATGCGTATGGTGGTGTCCCTGTGGCAGCCAACGGGTTTGCGAGAGGCATAAATCAGTTTGATGCATTCCATTGTGACAACAGTCTGATGTTTGATGGGAAGAACATGAACTTCCTGGAACGTGAGAGGGAGAGGAGATTCCAGCGTGTCAATAGCAGGGCACTGGAGCTTGGGAGTTCTAGGACTTTGAGGTTTGACAATGTGGTCCGTGTCAAGGAAGGATCCATCTACCACATGGCCAAGGACCAAAATGGGTGCCGGTATTTGCAGGACAAGTTTTTGGAAGGGAAGCATCATGTCGATGCGATCTTTGAAGGAATCATTAACCACATTGCAGACCTTATGATCAGCAGTTTTGGCAACTATCTTGTACAGAAGATGCTGGAAGTGTGTGATGAAGGGCAAAGGCTGAGGATCATCTTAGTGCTGACGCAGGACCCTGTGAAGCAGCTGATTGCCATCTCTCTAAACACACATGGGTAATTATCTTCTCTTCTGAAAATTAATCAGAAATTTGCATTATGATTTCTGTCTGACACTACAAGCATTTGTACTTGGCAACCAATTATGGTATTTGTTGATTTTAGAATGCTGTGCTTTGAGTCAGTATAATAAAGTACACGGGCATCAGAACAAGTGTGCTTTGATGCTAACATTGCAATGTGATCCCTTTTGTTTAGTGGGGGCATGCAATGACGCTGATGATTCTATTGTATTGATTTGTTCCAGGACCAGGGTAGTGCAGAGATTGATAGAGACTGTTAGGAGCAGAGATCAGATTATGCTCATCATTTCAGCCCTACAGCCAAGCTTCATGCTGCTTGTCAATGACCCCAATGGTAATCATGTAATACAGAAATGTCTGACAAACTTTGGAGCTGAGGATAACAAGGTACATAATGATTCCTACTAGTATGTAAACTTATTTCTTCTATTTGTAAATAAATTCTGTCTTCGAGTAATAAGTGGTTGTTGCATTTTTTTAATCATGTTATTGACTTTGACCAATTTACTGGTTGTGGGAGTAGAATTGAGCATTTCTAATTTCGGCTAGCAACTCTTTTTTTTTTTGAAACAATCGGCTAGCAACTTATGTTCATATGCATCTGTAATCATAATCAGACATGTTTTTTCTTCCATGAAGTAGTTTATTTAAAAAGGATATTTGCAAACTAAAAAACATTAATCCTATTCATCTCTACGTAAATTTGCTATTCTTGAACCTTTAGCAGTTTTTTTTTTCAGAGACAGACAATATCCAGGACTTTGTGTACGAACTACTCTAGTTTACTCTGGTACATATTGTACAGAGACTTTGCTTGCATTTGCAAACAGTATGATTTAAATAACTCTTAATGTTGTGCATTAATTAATTTATGGGGTATGGATCCACCAGAATCCAAAGTTATAGACAGAAATTTAGACATTTAGAAAGTTTGAGACCTGGAAATGACAAAATACACTAGATTCAACTAAGTTCATTAACCAATAACTAAACTATGGCTATGCTCAACTAAATTACCAGTATTTAAGTGGTCAATGACCATTTCCCTATGCATATCATGTTTTGGTGGTGGTGATGTCTTATGATCAACCTTAAGGGTTTTCCTCACTTGTCCTGAACTTGGATTTGACTATGTAATCTTGTGTTTTTCCCCTTCAATATTGCCTTTGGCATATGTCTTATGCATGTAAGATATATTTTCTGCCTACACATGGTTTTTATATGCACTAATGATAGAGAAATTCATTGGGGCAGGTACAATTGCGTTCCTAATTTTCACCACTTCAAATTATCAAGTGAAAATAAGTAATAACAAGTTCGTTACTGTGTACTCAGATTCTCATATTATTATAATTATCTTGTCCGAGATCAATGTGGTGTCATGAAATTATTCTGCTAGCAAACATACGCTAAGTATGCGTTGATCTTACTTTACTAGAGAATCTGCAAACATACATATGCTAAGTATGCATTGATCTTACTTTACTAGAGTGAGTATCTGCAGACATACTTATATTTACTCTGTTTAAACAGTTCATATTTGAGGGCGCTGCAGCCAACTGTTTTAACATGGCGGTACATCGCCATGGATGCTGTGTTCTACAACGTTGCATATCTAATGCACGTGGTGTATACCAGGCCAATCTAATTGTGGAAATATGTGCTCGTGGCTTTGAGCTTGCTCAAGATCCATTTGGGTAAAACCCTTGGTTGCTTATATTATATTCTGTTGCAAAAAAAAACACCATTGCTTTGTGCTTGTTTTTCCAATACATTAGTGATCTGTCTGGTAGATTGTAGACAAAGTCTCTGTACCTTCTTATTGCACTGCTTTCGTCGTTTTCAATACTGATGATCATCTCCTATATATCTTATATTTCTACAAGGCTGAACTTTGTTGGAAATAACTTTTCACCAGTGACTTAATTTGAGTGTAGCAAATGTTTGTTCTCCGTTGTTTATATAAACCTGTATATATGTATCTCAGTTCAAATCTATGTATGTTTCAAGAGCTTTTCAGTGATCATAACTCTTGTTTGAATAGGCAGGGATTTGCCCAATTCTCTTGGATTGACAAGGAATTCTGATTTTTCAAAAAAAAAAAGGAATTCTGTTCTTTTTATTAACTGTCACTCCAAGGGGGTTCATCCTAACTGGGATGCAAGTCCCACATATTTTGGATCATTGGGTCAACCCAAAACTTGCTAAAATGAACTAAAATGTCATTCTTCCTAATTAATTTAGGAGAAATGAACTTGGCTAGTTGACCCACAAAACACCATTGGGTACACTGCATCCTTAATCCTAACCCTCTCGATTGAAACAAGTCTTAATTGATTTCATTTATCTATGGTATTAGGAATTTAATTTGAACCAGAGAGATGGCAAAACTCAGAACTGTATCAACTCATCCCACAGAACTAGGATTGATTTCCCATTTCCCCTTGTCCCAGGAACTATGTGGTCCAATATGTTTTGGAACTGAAAATTCCTTCTGCAAATGCACACTTGGCATCTCAGTTTGAAGGAAAGTATATTTATCTCTCAAAGCAGAAGGTGAGCAGCAATGTGGTGGAGAGATGCCTAAAGTTTTTCCCGGACGATGCCAAAGCTGTCATAGTACATGAATTGCTCTTGCTCAGCGGGTCTCACTTTGAGCAACTGCTGCAAGACCCTTATGCCAACTATGTCATTTACACTGCCCTTCTCCACACCAAGGTTAGTGCAATATCATCTTAGTACATCATTCGGTATGCACAACATTGCATTTGTCATGCTCTAGTATTTTTCTCTCCAATGGCAGGGCCATCTGCACAGTGCCCTTGTTGAAGCGATCCGCCCTCATGAGGATGCCATCCGGACCAGCCCCTGTTGTAAGAGGATCTGCAGGGCCCTGTCCAGGAGGTGAAAGTTGTACCATCTGTATACCTTTGGTACCAGGAGGAAGGTCGCTGGCGTGTATTTGATTGTTGTCAATTTATGTTCACTAGTTTGTCACCCATAATGTACTCCACCACAACGCCCTACACGAGCCCTGTCAGAGTTCAGAAAGGCAGGTTTTTGTTGCAAGAACAACGGTTTAAGTTATTGTCAGGTACTCATCAGGTTGTAAAAAAGGATACCGCCCGTCGTGTCTTCCGTGGTGTAGTTTTTTTTTGCCGCACGCCTCTCCTGATGGTGTGCTGTAGTGTAGATTGTAGAGTTGTAAAAGGAACCCGTGTGCTTTCCCTCCTTGGGTCTGTTTTGTATCTGCTGTATTGCTTGCTTTCCACTTTGGATTCTATGAACTGTTACTGCTGGACAAGGATCATTCAAAAAATATTATTGTTGGGCAAGTGTTATACTTGTTGCTTTTAGCCTTTTGTACATAACTCAACTGTGTGTTTTAAGGAACAAAATCAATGTTTCATTGAGTTGTAAACATCGTGTGCTGAAATTGTCAGGTTTCCTGGTGATTGAGTGACATCCAGTTAGATGAATATTTTTTCCCTTAAGCGATTAGCTTTGCTGCTACAGAATGGGGAATGGAATGTCGATGGGGAACGATGTTGGAATAGAACGGAAAAAATACTGCTGTGAAATTGAATGGCTGGAACAGATCATTGCCAAAAATAAAACAAAGAAAATAGGATTTTTCGAGCATTGACAAAACCAAAAAAATAATAATAAAACGAAATTGCTGATGCAAGTCCACTTGGGGAAGACAAGGAATGGAATGTCGATGTTGGAATGGAACCGAAACGGAAAATTTTCTGCTGTGAAATTGAATGTCGATGCTGGAACAGAGCATTGCCGGAACAAAACAAAAAAAATTAGAGTACTGCCGAAAACAAAAAAAATAAAAAACAAAAGACTTGCTTAAGCGACTCCGCTGGGGATCGAACCCAGAATCTCTGGTTCCGTAGACCAGCGCCTTATCCATTGGGCCACGGAGTCTCTGATGCTATTATTTTTGTAGCTCCACTTATAATTGTATTGAGAAGAGTTACTGCTGCAGTGATGAAATATCATGATATATATCTAACTAAATTGTAATCACTGCTGCATGCCCGAGGAATCGAAGAGTTCTAATATAACTGAATATTGAAGGGGAATATTTGATTCAGCTTGTAAACATCCGGAAGTTTCCTAATGGAGTTTTCACCTTTTCTTCGCAGTGTTTGTGTATTGGTCATTTATGTAATGTAAGACTTTCTAATACTCTGGCTCGCTCTTGTTGTTATATGATATGGCAGAGCTTCTACTAATGTTTCAAAAAAGAAAGAAAAAAAAGTGAGCTGCCGTTACCTCCAAAGATTTTGTCCCTTGGGTTTCAAAACAGTTAAGTACTAGTATATGATAACTTGATAAACATATCTGTACACAGAAATTGGCCTGTCCCTATGGATATCAGTATTCACTAATGGACGTCTGGACGAAAACCCACTCTTCATCTCTCTGAAACTACTAACTCAATGTTGCAGTCTCAAAAAAACCTGTCGAAGTCTCAACAGGAGCAACCACCTGATTTCTGCTCCAGCTGCGCGGCTGCGCCTGACGCCGACGAGCCGCTGGCAGGTCTGAGGTTTATGTCGACCATGTCTTCGTGCTTTGCTGACGAGAGCGCGTCCAGTCCTGGAAGGGATCCAGCGATCTTGCGGAACAGAGGCTGCAAGACTTAAGTTTTCACTTTTCAGATGTTTGATCAGCCATGGATATCAAGAGAGAGCTTTTGCTTGTGAAAGTGAAGGGGGGGGGAACATTAATAAAGAGTCAGGACCTTGACGTTGAACCCAGCTTTTGCACTGGTCTCTATGAACATGGCACCATGCTCCTGTGCTTTGGCTTCTCCTTCGCCAGTGGACACTTTCCTGGTGACATCATATCCAGGGAACAAAAATCAGGATAGTTGACCACTTTATTGAAAAACTATATCGCAAGAGTAATTCCTTAGATTTTATACTGAGCAGAAGATGGGGCGTCGGGGATGGAACATGGAACTGATGTTATAATTATATAAAGAAAGGGCCTGAAGCCCTGACCTAAAGTTTAGTCCTGGACCATCCAAACGGTGGACTAAATTTTAGCCCAGCTCAACTAGTTGTTATAGCCCCTCTAGGTAATACATATATCTAAACAATATAGGATTAATCTTTAGTCGTGTGATTTTAGTCACCTAGACTTTATATAGTTGGACTAACAACCAGATCAAGTGGTCCAAACAGGTCCTAATTCAGAGATACAAACCTCTTGTCAACAAGGTCAGTTTTATTTCCGACGAGGAAGATGAGCACATCTCCACCTCTTTGCGTGTTTACTTCCTCGATCCACTTTGATGTGTTCAAGAAGGATTGGCTGTCTGCAAAGAAGGGACACAAGAGCCTAGCATTGGACAAGGATAACATATACACATTTGAAACGAAAAAGAAAGATCAAAGGACAATGATAATATTGTCCTGTTCGCTCGGCTGATAAGCCATGGCTGAAAGTACTGTTGACTGATTTGTTGTGAGAGAAAAATACTGTTCGTTGGTTAAAAAAGTACGACTTATAGGCCAAGCAAACGGGGCGAATTATGTTTGTAGTGAAGCTTCCCCAAAACAAACCTCATTTGAAACAAACAATTCGACGTATTGGCTTCTCAGAATTGAAAAGCTGGAAATCATGGCATGCCTCACTGTATGGGGAGATTATTAAAAGCACTGATTTTTTTTCTAAACAGAAAAGCAGTGGCTATCAAATTTAATTTAATAAACAAAAAAGGCGACATTTAAAAAAAAAAGAAAAGAAAGACCTTCAGAATTTCGCTTCAAACAATTTCAGAATTGGCCTGTTACAGCTCTACGAGAAATCAAGGGCAAAAACTTCGCATATCCTGTCCAGCGTAGAAAGCAAAGGAATATACTGTACGGTATACGCTAGCGGGAAGTGTTTCTGGAGACGGTCAACTTACCGGTGACATCGTAAACGATGACGGCCACGGAGGAGTCTCTGATGTAGCTTGGGATCAGGCTGCGGAACCTCTCCTGCCCAGCTGTGTCCCTGCACATTTTAACAATTCACATTCACTAACTGTCTCTGTCAAAACCTAAGTTCCAACAATCCATTCGCGCAACTGCTTTATGAGGAAAGGAAAAGCTGGACATCTTGATCTCGTCTTCATTCATTACTCGTTACTAGTACGCACTAACAAGGAACTCCATGGGAAAGTCAAAGCATCGACAAATCTGCGTGTTCAGTTCAGAACTAAGGAGGATTAATCAGACCCTGAAGAAAAGTCGGGCGTATGTACCAGAGCTGGAGGCGAACGGTGCGGTCTTCGAGGTACATCGTCTTGGACAGGAAGTCGATCCCGATCGTCGCCTGCATCACGGGGGAGGGAGCAGATAGCAGCAGCACGGATCATCAGATGAGATTTCGCCGACAGGTTTCAGTAACGATGATCCTGCCTGAAAGCGGGCACGAGACGAGGGAGAAGGGAGCCGAAGATCGGCGGGCGGGCGGGCGGACCGACCTGGTAGGTGTCGTCGAACTTGTCGTGCATGAAGCGGGTGATGATGGCCGTCTTGCCCACCGCCTGGTCGCCCAGGAACACGAGCTTGTACTTGGCCAGCGCCGACACCACCGCCATCGATCGCACACCGCGCCGGAGGGTAGCCGAGCTCTGCTGTGGCTTGGCGTATGTCGCCGCGATCGAGGCTGGGCGTCTGGAGACTTAAGATCGAGGAACCGAGGAGTTGGTGTATGGGGCTTTGGACGCTTTCAACTGAGGAAAGGGAAGGAGGAAAAAGGGAGGACGAGCTTTGAACGGGGGAAGATGGGGTCGCTTTCGGCGTTTCAAATTAGGCTTTTCCTCGTCGTGGGGTGGGCCGAGGAAGAAGAAGTAAGAACCAGGAGGAGCGTCTCTTTGCACCGGCTGTAACGCAACGCGATCCTGACAAATTTGCACTCCCTTTTACACCACGTTGGAAAATGGAAACTTATTTTTTTAAGAACAGAATAAGAATATAATAATAATCGTACAAAGCGTAATACTTGCGTCGTGTAGGGTTGGTCAGCGCTGATCAGCGGATAAGTAAGCGGACACGGTCGCCGTAGAGAACAGAACGTCCAGTACAAAACGGAAGCTTTTTAGCCCGAGACCCGCGAACCGGTTCCCCGCTTTTCCCCTGGTTCGGTTGCGGCGTCCGCGCCCGCGCTCGTGCCACGGGCGTGACCTGGTCTCGTGGTCTGGTAGTACGAGCACAAGCGCGCGAAGCAATCACGTGACGGGGGGAGTCCAAGCTCCAAAGTCCATACAAAACACGCTGGTTTGACTTTTGGAGAGTAGCAGATGGGCCTTGGCTTCAACCAGCCCTCGACCGCAGGCTCTTAATGTTGGGCTAGTCCAACTTCCTTTTAGTGTGCGTTGGGCCAGGATGTAGCGGAACAGAGTGCACTGTCCAAGTGGGCCACATCAGAAGAAATGGCCTTGTTTTGCTGGGCCTTCAAAATCCAAAGCTTGTTACTGTGCAACGGGGGAGTTTTGCGCATGCAGGTCATGCACAGCGCCCGCGGTTCACAGCAACAGTTAAATAAACAGTGCGGTAACAGCTTTACGAATTCACCCATTCACACGCTCGAACCTCGAATCGAACTGAACGCAGACGATTGAGGACTTCAACTGGCCTGCTAAAGCAGACATCATGTACGCATGTGGCGACCGTTTTAGCCTGTCAGTGAAAAAACTTTGCGCCGTAACAGTGTGCGTACGCTATAAACCACCAAAGTGGAAACGCTCGTTCGTTAACTGAACGCAGTGGCAACAACAGTAGGAAACGCCCAGCAGTGAAACCAGCCAAGTAGCCAACACACGCGCCGCTACCACGGAGCGAGGGTGACGCAGTTCACAGCGCCGAGCAGAGAAGCAGCTGGCCAGCAGCAGAGCCGTATCCGATTCCGTATGAACAGCGCGCTTCTCGCCTGTGCACGAACTGGCAGGCGCAGGCACAGGCGCAGGCGGCGGGCGGAGCAGGCAGGCGTGTAATGAGGCTCGCCGGGGTCGATCAGATCGGTACGGGGGCCGTGCAGTAATCGCCGCCTTAAAGGCCACACCCAACTCAGGCGAGCGAGCTTCGCCTCCGCCGGCCGCGGCCTGCCAGCCCGCTGGCCGCTGTGCACCAATGGCGACTACTAACTCCCCGTATTAATTGCCCGGAGTAGAGCACCGGCGCGGCAGTCTACGCACACGTCATGTACGTGTATTTATATACGTACTCCTGTATTGTATATCCATCGGCCGGAAAGACGACGACGGCGTGAGAGAGGGTGTGAGACGCAGCAATTCTGGCAACGTACGTAGCGCGTACTCTCGATCGCGTTTAATAATAATACAGGAGGCGTAACATCCAGAAGATTCAGTATCCATACCCATTCATTCACTCATTCATCGCATCGGCGTCGGCAGGTCATTCCATCAGCGACCTTGACCGCGACCGCCCCACTCCGTCTTCGGCCTCGGCCACGCTTGCCTTCGGATTCCGATCCATCATACTCCGTAGATCACTGCAGTGCCCAGGTCGGTAGCCGTGTGCGCTCGTCGTGCACGGACGCTCGATCGCGGCGCGAGTTGCAGGCTGCACCGCTGCCCCGGCAGTGGCAAAGCCACACCTTCAATCAATTTTGCAAAAATATAGTGACTTTGATTAAAATTTCACAGCATATGCACTCGACATAAGCCATATATTCCCTCCGTCCTGTAATATTTGCACCTCTACGTTTGGGCGCGCAAACCAAGGAGTACTTCTTTCAGTGACCCGTCCCACCGCTCCCTCGCGTCCATTTTCATTTTTTTAATGACAAATCGTTCTGTGGCTGGTGGGAACGAGTGGACAGGAAGGGTTGGAATGACTGTTTCATGTTTTTTTTAATCGCCTCTGTCACGTTCCAAGATTCGAGGTTACTGTCGCACTGCTATGCCAGGCCTATGCGAACCGATTATTTCGGGAAAATTTTTGAAGTGCAAACGTGCACTTAAACTGGGACGGAGGGAGTATTCCATTGTATCCTCTTTTATAGTTTGCTCCAGATAGTTTCAACTGGATGCGCAGCAGAGATGCCAACCGGGTCATGATTGACGACATTTATGCTTGTACAGTTGTTGCCAACAATCCGGGGGGGAGAGAGAGAGAGAAAACCTATGCATGTCGTCGCATGGCCACGTCTTCGGCTCGATCTCCCGGCCCGGCCATGGCAAACAGGGCGCTCTCCTGATGATTTCAGCTGCTCTCTGCGTATTGAAGGACGTCGTTTTTGTGGCGAGGTCGTGGAATGGTGCACATCACAGCTTAAATTAGATTAGCTTGAAACCACCCGCATGTAGTATGACACGAGTCCATGCACAGATGCTGATCGATCATCGATCGTGCACGGCAGCCTAATCGGATTAGGTGTGCTACCTACAGTGCGTATTCTACTTTTGCAACGGTAGTGCCAGCGTCTGGACGTCCGAACGCTCGTGGGTACACTTTGTGCTCCCCCGCGTACTTCCACTATGCCCCTGCGCCATCACACCCTCGAGCGCCAGCATGCCCCCACCACGCTTGCGTTTCACGCGCCCATGTGGGGCCCGCGCTGTCCGGGCGTCGCCTGCACCACTAGACCGCACGCGAGGACCACTCACGCCCCTCCGTTGTCTGTGCCCGCTCGGCGACGCTCCAGCAAATGCAGCTGGTGACTGCGGAAGGTGGGTCCCATTGCAACATGTGCAACACCCGATCTACTTTTGAAATTCATCCAGATCAATGATTGAAATATACGTATGAATACAGATGAAACACTTGAAACATACGTCTGAAACACTAGCAAAATAATGTAAAAACACTTGAAAATTATTGTAAACATACACAACATCCAGATAAACACTTGCAACATATGTGTGAAAACATATGCAACATCCAGATAACCACACTTGCAACATGTGTCTGAAAAATATAGATGAAACATTAAAAATAAAAGCTTGCAATATACGTGTACGACTGTAACACCCCGGTGTTATGCCAGCATTTAGGCACTGCAAATCATGCATCATAAAGCATCCTAATCATACATGCCTAATCATGTAAATAACAACTGAAACACTACTTCGAAACATACGAAACATGTTGTGTAACCTGAATGTTGAATACACCTGTTTAAGAGTTGTTTTGTCCTGATTTTGCTTGCTAGGTTAGTAGAACTTGTTTGGTTATGATTGTAAATCATCTAGAATTATTTAGCACAATTTTTGGAGCAAAGTTTGTATTCAAACTTTTGACAAAATATGCTTTTGAAATTATTATGGGAAAAGGGTAAAAAATCCTCTCTATTTAGCTTTTGCTTCCCAATTCAAAATCTATGCAAAATTTTTAGTTGATCCCTAAAGGAAAGTTGTAGAGTGCTAAATTCTAAGCAACTTTTATTTTTGGACCATTTTCAAAAGAAGTCATTTCCTTGCTCAAAATAATATTTGAAAGCTGGCATTTAAAAATTTCTTGAAAATAAAAATGGAAAAGGGCTTTTTCTGGGTCAAGGGTCACGCCGCCTCGGTTCCGCCCACGACCAAGTTGCAGCCCAGCCTCCCTCCACGCCGCGCTTCGGCTTGGCCCAGCCAGCGCGGCCGCTTTGCCGCTCGCCTTCGCCTGCCCACGATGACACGCTACTGCTGTCTCGATGCCAGGCAGAGCTTCGCCTCGCCATATGGCGGCTAAGCGCCGCCGACGCCTTGCTGTCAGCAGGCCGGCTCACGGCCCGCGCCACGCGCCGCCTACTGCTAGAGCGTCGCGCTCATTGGCTCACTCCTCGCCGCCTCTCCTCTCCAGCACCGAAGCGCCCTCACTCTCCTCTCGCCGCGCCATCGCACCACGCCAAGCAAAATCCGCCTGCGTCTCCTCCACCTCGGCCCGTGATCGTGAGCCCGCAGCTCCGCCTCGCTCTCCCGCAAGACGTCGTGCTCGCGCTTATGCCGCCTGGCTGAGCCTAGGTAGCGCCGTCTCGAGCCCCCCGCGATCGTTGGCCATGGCGCTGTGCTTTCGGCCGCCATGGAAGGCACCTTCCTCCTCTTCTCCACACCTGTCTAGCTACCTTCCGCCGCTTAGTTTCTCGCGACCGCGTGCTCCCCGCTTAGCTTCGCCTGTCACGGCCGGAATGGTCGCGGCCGTGGTCGAGCCGCAGCGCCATCATGACGTCAGCAGCCACGGCGTGCAGATTCGCCTCGGCGCGCTTGAGCCGAGAGGCCATGGCCGGCATACCCGCCGGGCCGCCTCACCCTTCCCTTCGCTTAGGCCGCGTAGGCCAAATGTGGCCGTGGGCCAGCTGATTTCAACGGGCTGGCCCAGTAGCAATAGGATGATTTGTTTTCAATTATTCTTTATTATTTGAAAATAGAAATGGTTTGAAAAATGTTTGGATACTCAAAGTTGCTCCAAATCTATTGAAATAAATTTGTCTAGGTTCCTTATCATCAGATCTACTCGGGAAATTATTGCATTTCATTTTTGAGATATTTTTCTATAGAACTTTATTTAATTATGTATATTGCTGATAACTTGAAAAATGTGTAGAAAAATCTATAGGCTTCAGAAAAATATGATTCTAAGTTTGTTAATCTTCTTA